CATATACTTAAACATGTATTTCCTACAGAAAGGCTATTATATAATTATAAATTATATATTTTTATATTATATTATATATTTTTTATTATTATATATATATTTTAGATTATATATTATAATTATATAATCATATAATTATAATAGTTATCAACATCAGCAAACTTAGCACTGATCTGCTTTCTAATTTCTGTTGCATATTCTCTCAAATGCCTAATAATGTCCCCAGGGAGCATTTCTGATGACATATCTCACTGATCAACATAGACAGTATTATTCCCTTGCACTTCCTTTTCTTTTAGTACAATCATCCTCCCCTGCAGACATCCCCTTGATATCTGGTTTCACTATGTATTCTTGAATGGAATGCAGTTCAGGATTCTTCTGTAGTACAGGATGCATAGCTGCTGCTCAAGGTGTATGCTGGATAAGACACCAGACGCTGTCAATGTGATCTCATGAATACTCTGCATTGTGCTGTATTTCTCGCTTCACTTAACTCATGTGTTTTGGCTCACACTATAAGCTGTTCAAATCTCATTTGAGTTCTTTTACCTTCTTGAGCTTTCTGGAATCTGCCCATACAAATAAATGGGTTAGCAAGAGACTTCAGCAGTTAATGTACAGAATTTGGGGGCTGAATTTTTTCTCTGGCTATCTCCATTCTAAGATCTTCCTTCTTTCTAGTGCTTTTTCATTCTCCTGAATTCAGTATTCTACATCTTTAGGCCAGAAAAACTGAATTTTATATGAGAATCTTAACTGCTTCATGGATGCTGACTGCTAAAATTAGTAAAATTAGGAAACCTTAGTCCTCTTTCAGGTACTACTCTCTTCCAGAATTTAGGTACTATCCAATGGTTTTAGGTTGTAGCTGTAAATTTTTTTCATCCAGAGTTTATGGTCAACTGTCAAGGAAGCAGGTCTGACAGCTTAGCCAAATGCTGGTGACATTAATTTTGATCATGTGGTCAAAATATTGCTGAATTTTTTTTCTTTCACTCACTTATTTTCCCATTGTACCTAATAAACAAAGTTTTACCTGATAGAATTAACATTTGCTGATGATTCTTTTGCCATTTCCTTGGAGGTACTAGGGTTTGAACTCAAAAGCTCTACTACCTGATTGTGCTTCTAGCCCTTTTTCCTTCAACTAATTTTCAAATAGGATCTTGCACTTTTGCCCAGGCTGGTCTTGAACTACAACACTCCTACTGAAGCCTTTCTCATAGCTGAAATTACAGACACACCCACTATGGCCCAGCTTATTTGTTAAGATGAGGTCTTGCTAGTTTTTTGCCTGGGCTAGTCTTGAACTTTATTCCCCCCCTCCCCCCCCGCCCTCTTTCTTGCCAGCCATGGAGCCTGAACTCTGGGCCTGAGCGCTGTCCCTCAGCTCTTCAATCAAGGCGAGTGCTCTACCACTTGAGCCACAGCGCCATTTCTAGCCTTTTCTGCTTATGTAGTGCTGAAGGAATCAAACCAGGACCTCATGCATGCAAGACAAGCACTCTACCACTGAGCCACCTTCCCAGCCAATCTTTATCTCTTGAGTAGCTGAGATTATATGAGTATATCACCATGCCTGGTCCTCACTGATGATTTTTGCTTGGGCCATCCTATACTATTACTATTACAAAAATGGCCATTTTCCAAGTCAACATTTGCCAATTGACATTGGGCAGTAAGCAAATTCCTTTTCTCCCCTTCATCATATATATGTGTTCGTTGAATTAGTTGTTTCTATGTAATTGTATTGTCCATTAAAATGCAGTTCATCTGTTTCAACTAGCTCCCTCATCCTGGTTGACTCAGTCTTTTTTTTTTCTTTGCGGGTCCTGGGCTTGAAGTCAGGGACTGGGCACTGTCCCTGAGCTTTTTCAGCTCAAGGCTAACACTCTACCACTTGAGCCACAGCTTAAGTGGAGATAAGAGTCTCACAGACTTCCCTGGCCAGGCTGGCTTCGAACTGCAATCCTCATATCTCAGCCTTCTGAATAGCTAGAATTACAGACATGAGCCACCAGTGCCCAGCTTCAGTCTATTTTTTTTTAAATGTAGATTAATGTCTCTCAAAGCCAAAAATATACCAAGAAGGCATGCTCAGAGTTGTGCCATTCCCTTCACTCTATCTTGTACAGATGATCACTGTACTGTCATGTATCTAAGCCTTCTCTTATGTTTTTCTCAAAGACAGAGATGTACATATTTTTAAAATTTCCTTTCTTATATGCTAGTTGCTAATGTATGTGCCAATATTTTTCACTTATAGTAATCTCCTAAAGACCTCCCTCTATCAGTTCACAGACACTGGATTTTTTTCTTTTTGTAGGTTGTGGGCCTGAACTCTGGGTTTGGGCGCTGTCCCTCAGATCTTCAACTCAAGGCGAGCACTCTACTGCTTGAGCCACAGAGCCAATTCCAGTTTTCTAGTGGTTTATTGGAGATAAGAGTCTCACAGACTTTCCTGCCCAGGCTGGCTTTGAACCATGATCCTCACAGATCTCAGCCTTCAGAGTAGCTAGGATTACAGGTATGAGCCACTGGTGCCCATCTTTGATTTTTTTCTTTAGTCTTTCACAGCTACGTAATAGCCTTTCTATTTATCGCACTGATCTCCACAACTAGAGAATTAAGCAGTTTCTGATACTTTACAATGATAAACAAAACAGCATTGAATAATTGTGTAAATATGTACTTTCACACTGGAAATGTGTTATCAGGGACCTGGGGTAAGTGTGAATATATACGTAGCCCATATATTGCCAAGTCCCTCTGTATGTTTGGTATATCATTTTGCAACTACAGCACACCAGAGTGCCTGGTTTTACCATGCTTTTGTCAACTGAGTATATTGTCAAACTTTTGAGTTTTTGCCTCTCTTGACAAGAAAGAAATAGTATCTCAATGTAATTTTTTTTTTTCAACTTAGGGAATGGGTGTTGTTCTTAAACTTCGTTTGCTCAAGGTTAGCACTCTACCAATTGAGCCACAGCTCTATTTCCAGTCCTTTTTTTTTTTTGGTAGTTTATTAGATATAAGAGGCTCATTGACTTTTCTGTTCTGGCTGACTTCAAACTGTATTGATATTCAGATCTCAGACCTAAGTAGCTAGGATTACTGGCATGAGCCACTGGTACCTGGCTTTCAGTGTAATTTTCACATATATTCCTTTAAATGAAAGGAAACATCTTTGCCTATACTTGTATATTTTCTGTTCATATCTTTACCCAATTTTAGTAGATCAAAGTCTATTCACCTACAGTCCACAGATGAGAACATGAGTAGAATTTAGGAGGTGTCTGTGACTTTAGCTTGCAAAAAAGTTACTTGAACTCAGGGCCTGGGCACTGTCCCTGAGCGATACTTCTGTCTTTATTCTGTTTATGTGGTGCTGAGGAATCAAATCCAGGGCTTCATATATGCTAGGCAAGCACTCCTAAGCCTCATTCCCAGCCCTCTTTTTCTTTTTTAAAACTAATCTCTGATTGAATATTAACCTTTTTTTTTTTTTTGGTCAGTTGTGGAGCTTGAACTCTGAGTTCAACTCTGAGTGCCTGGGCACTACCCCTGAGCTCTTTTTGCTCAAGGCTGGTGTTCTACCACTTTGAGCCACAGTGCCATTTCCAGTTTTCTGGGGGTTAACTGGGGATAAGAGTCTGCCCAGGCTGGCTTTGAAGTGTAATACTCTGATCTCAGTCTCTTGAGTAACTAGGATTACAGGCATGAGCCTCCAGCATCCAGCAAATTTAGCAATTAACTGCCAATAGAAATCAGATAATTTGATACTATTTTCCAGCTATAAACAATCTGAAATTGTTTTCACAAATCATCACATGAAATTAACACACTTGCTGGTACACTGCATTATAGTTTTCCTGTCTGTGAGTACTCTAGTGATAGAGCTAGAGATCTGTCAAATATTCTGCCACCTGATAGTAGGATCTCCCACGGGGGACCAAGATATCTATGCTGCTTTCTGTCTGCAAAATTCCTTGTCAACATATACGAACACAGACTCTATAAATTCCTCTTTAGGTTTTATAACATTCAATTTATTTCCATCACTATGACATCAAAGGTGAATTATGTATCAGAATCCTTTTTTATTTACTATTCACTAAGCCAATATGAATTCATGTGATTTTAACACAAAAAAGTTACTGTGAATAGGATTATAGATAAAAACTGTTTGCAAACTCAGATTGTCCTTGACTTATTTTTCCTAGGAAACAATGGATTTTAAAACATTCAAAAGAAAGCATCTTTTGTTAATCAGGATTCTCTAAAAGAAAGACGCCCAAATCAACTGATGCTCCAATCAGTACATATTTTGTTAAAGACCACCACACAATTGAATACTCTGAAACATTAGCTCTCATACTGATGTTCTAAAAATTAAAATTCAATTCTAACTTGCTTGGGATTTAAATCATCTAATTATTTTACACACTGATAAGGAAGTTATACCTTACTATACTACAAATATGTTCTGTGTTGGTAACTAAATTTCAACACAATTGGTTTTCTCTGTAATCCTATGTACTATACTTTATACATTTACAAATAATATTCTGGTAAAAAGTTTACAGGTTTAGGGCTGTGATGTAGCTCAGTGGCAAAGCGCTTGCCTAACAAGTGCAACCTCCTGGGTTTGATCCCCAATACCAAAAAAGAAAACCCAAAAGAAAAGAAAGAAAAAAGAAAAAGTTTGTAAGTTTTGGATTGGCTCAGCATTAAAACAGGTGAAGAACCTCTACCCTAGCCTCTCAACCAAAGGTAGCAGTTTTAAGACCATTGGGGTTACAGATTAATAAACATTTCCTTGTGCCATGTCAGAACTCACTATGAATGAAATGAGTATTCCCACCACCTTATGCAGACAAATAAAGCCATAAAAACAGATTGAGTTATTCAGTTGTTTGTAACTTTCCAAACTGCAAATTGACTGCCCTGCCCAGAAAGCCTTGAAGTAAGCCACTCACCACTCACCCACCACTCACCATCAGTGGAATGCACATGGGAGCTGCCAATCTGATCCACCAGCAACATGAAAACAAAGCCCAGGACAAGAGACACACCGATGTAGGCATGTAGCTTCGTGTGGTCGTGGCTATGCTCATGTTCATGGACCACTGCTTTGTCTGATGCAAACACATTCTGCGATCCACTGGCTTGGTGGTGTTTCCCTAGAGCAATGAGAAAAATGTCTTTAACAGTTTCCTGTAGAAGCTTCCATTCTGTTGTATCTTAGGCTCTACCTAGTTTGCTGTAAAAATATTTAATTTCTGTACTGTGAGCCAATCAAACTCCTTCAACTTAAAGTTTATGATGGAACAATTCCTGAGTGTCCTCTGTTACTGGCATGTGGACATTTTGACTGCCTAGCATTCTCAAAACCTGGGACATGGAAGCAAATCATCTTTGGGAGTAGTAACATAGTTATAGATAAATTCTCAATCTTTCTTTTCATCTGAGAAAACAAAAGTTATGCCAGTCTCCTCAGAATCTATCTTAGGTCATTTTTATGAGAACAAGCAAATTAAAAGCAGTAACAAAACAATGACAATCTAATGCACCTAATTTTATATGTAGGTTGATAGAAAAAATTGCAAATAAAAATAGAATAAAGGGTGAACAAATGCAGCAATTGTACTTACTGGTTACTATATTGAAAATGAAGTATACAACTGGTAGATAGCGAGGAGAGAGAAAAACTGGGAGAGAGCAAGGGAAAGGGTGACCTTGTCCAAAAAGAAATATACTCTGGGGCTGGGAATGTGCTTAGTGATAGAGTGCTTAGTATGCATGAAGTTCTGAGTTTGATTTCTCAGTACCACATTAAAACAGAAAAATCCAGAAGTGGTGCTGTGGCTCGAGTGGTACAGTGCTAGCCTTGAGCAAAAAGAGCTCAGGGAAAGCATCCAGGCCCTGAGTTCAAGTCCCAGTTCTAACACACACACACACACACACACACACACACAATTTAGCTTCAAAATCTATCAGTTGGAGGCTGGGTGCTGGCGGTTCTTACCTGTAATCTTAGCTACTCAGGAGTCTGAGATCTCAGGATCATGGTTCAAAGTCAGCCTGAGTAGAAAGTCCATGAGACTCTGATCTCCAATTAACCACCAGAAAATTGGAAATGGAGCTATTACTCAAACTGACAGAGCACCAACCAGCCTTGAACAAAAAAGCTTAGTGACAGTGTGGCCAAGCCCTGAGTTCAAGGCCCACAACCAACAAAACAAAAAAAGAAAAATGGAAAGTCGCTAGCAGAAAAACAAAAAGGACAGAGCAGTTAAAGAGGTATATCCTTCAATCTACATTCAGTTCTAGGTATATCAAAATTGTTAGGAGACCAAATTACAGTAAGAGACACCTGTCCTATTCTTCTAGTTTATATTCATGTATTTGATACTTAAATGTTTCAGGGCTGGGAATATGGCTTAGTGGCAGAGGGCTTGCCTAGCATGCATGAAGCCCTGGGTTCGATTCCTCAGTACCATATAAACAGAAAGGCCAGAAGTGGCGCTGAGGCTCACTCAAGTGGTAAAGTGCAAGCCTTGAGCAAAAGAAGCTCAGGGACAATGCTCAGGACCAGAGTTCAAGCCCCAGGACTGGCAATAAATAAACAAACAAACAAATAAATGCTTCAAGGACAAAATCTTTGTCTTTGTTATAGTTCATAGAAGAGGGTAACACAACCATTTCTAATTAAATTAAGCAGTCTGATTAAAGGAGTTACAAAGTCTTTTTTGGGGGGGTGGGTGGGAGTGGGGTGGGCGCTGGTCTTGAGGTTTGAACTCAGGGGCTGGGCCCTGATCCTGACCTTCTTTTTGCTCAAAGATAGTGCTCTACCACGAGAGCCACAGCACCACTTCCGGTTTTTCTCTGAGAAGTTTACTGGAGATAAGAGTCCTCATGGACTTTCCTGCCTGGGCTGGCTTTGAACCTAAATTCTCAGATCTCAGCCTCCTGAGTAGCAAGATTACTGCCTTGAACCACCAGTGCCTGGTTTTGGTGTGCTTTTTTTGGTCCCCAAGGAGTTTTTCCTGTTTTAGGACTTCATACGAATAGGATCAGAAAATTCATTATATTCTTTTGAGCAAGTCTTACTTGGCTTAGCACAATGTTTTCAGATTCATTTATGCTCTGCAAATAAGAGCAGCCCATTTGTTTTTGTTGAGTAATGTTTTACTTTTTGGCTAAAATACAATTTGCTAATCCATTCTAATTTTGACCTATCACAAATAAAGCAGTTATAAACTTTCAGGTCCAAGTCTTCCTGTTGATACATTTTCTTTTCCCTCAGTTAAATACCTAAGAACAGAGTTAATAGTTTCTGTGTATATTGCTAGACATGTTATCCAAAACGGTTATACCATTCATAGACCCAACAGCATTGTGAGTTGCAGTTGCTCTAAAGCATTGTCATTAAATACTGCCAAGGCTTTAAACTTTAACCACTTTTACATATATGATTATGTCATCTGCAAACAGCTAAGTAGAAAGTTTTCTTTCCTAGTTTGCTGAAAATCTTTTCATACATCAGCATTTAACTTTGTCAAATATTTTTCATGTACATGGATATGCAGGCATTATGTAAGAAACATAATGATTTAAACTCCTTTCAATAGTGGCATAGCAGGAGCTGGGAATGTGGCTTAGTGGCAGATTGCTTGCCTAGCATACATGAAGCCTTCAGTGTAGCTCAAGTGGTAGAGTGCTATCCTTGAGCAAAAGAAACTCAGGGACAGTGCCCAGGCCATGAGTTCAAGCCCCAGGACTGGCAAAAAAAAAAAGGGCAAGTAGGTCATAGCAGTATTCGCAAGCCTATTTTCAATTGACTTTACTTCCTCTCACCCCCAGTTGTGGAACTTGAACTCAGGGGCTAGGTGCTGTCCCTGAGCTTTCTTGCTCAAGGCTAGTGTTCTACCACTTTGAGACATAGTGCCACTTTTGTTTTTCTGGTGGTTAACTGGAGATAAGGGTCTCACAGACTTTCCTACATGGGCTGGCTTTGAACTACAATACTCAGATCTCAGCCTTTTTTTTTTTTTAATTTAAATGCCAGTCCTAGTGCTCTACTACTTGAGCCACATGTCCACTTCCTACTTTTTTGGTATTTACTCTCACAGATTTGCCTGCCTGGGCTAGCTTCAAACTGTGATCATCAGATCTCATCCTCCTGAGTAGCTAGGGCCACTGGCTCTTTTAAGGAACCAATTATTTTAAGGAACCTCCATAATGATTTCTATAGAGGTTGCACTAACTTAAATTCTCACGAGGAGTGTATGAGTGTTCCTTTACACACACACACACACACACACACACACACACGCACGCCAACACTTGTTTTCTTTTTCTTTTGTCGGTCATGGGGCCTGAACTCTGGGCCTGGGTGCTGTCCCTGAGCTCTTCAGCTCAAGGCTAGTGCTCTACCACTTGAGCCACAGCACCACTTCCGGCTTTTTCTGCTTATGTGGTACTGAGGAATCTAACCCAGGGTCTCTACCACTGAGCCACCTTCCCAGCTCAACACTTGTTTTCTTAATGAATGCCATTCTGACTGGGGTGAGATGGAATCTTAGTGTAGTTTTGACTTACTAATGATGTTGTACATTTCTTCATGTATCTACTAGCCATTTGTATTTCTTCTCCTAAGAGAAGAAATTTCCTAAGAGCTTTTTGTTCAATTTGCTTACCCACTTATTGAGCATAGTTAGATTATAAGACACCACATTTGAGATGGACTCTCATCTGCCAACACAGACCATTTTACCTCTTTCTGATTTAGATGCCACTTATTAAGTTATTGCCTAATTGCAAGGCCTTCCTTCTGTAAAGCACAACAGAAAAAAAGATACAGATAACTTTTATTGCTAACGAATCTGATAAGTGACATTCTTAAAGTGAAAATTAATGGATTATCTATACTAAACAATTCCTGATAACAGCAGGTTTTGACAATTAAATGTGTTATGAATACAACACAAAGTATGAGTACGTTTATACTTAGATTATGAGCCAGACGAGCACTAAGGAGGCAACTTGCATTCATATTTAGGTCTCTGACCCAATAGTCTGCCTTCTTCAACATGCCAATTTAAAAAAAATCCAAAGAATTATGATGCTTCCATTTTTTATTCTACAGTAAACAAGCAATGCAATGCTCAATAAACTCTGAAGTTCTTATAATTACTTTCTATAGAAAATCTCTACACATTAAAGCTGATTATCTAATTTGTGATTTTAAGAGGTATAATTATAGACAAGTATGTTAAATTCCTTTTCACATTAATTAGTATTTAATAATGCATATTAAAACATCTGAGAAAAATCTGTTAATTATTGTAATTCAAGGCTCACAGATGAGTGAAATCATAGGCTATAGTAACATACAAACAATCTCTTTACATGAAATATAGCAAAAGGTTGGCTTGATCTATAATGAAGAATTCACTGGTGTATTAAAATTCTGCTTTTGAAAAAGAATGGTGGAGATACCTAGTACTGACCAAGATGGAATGTGCTCATCTTATCCTCAATTACCCACAAATTACTACAACAAAACACACCTTAAAAAACCACTGGAGAGGGGGGAGGGGGGAGTCTGGGAAGGGATGTGAAGGTTAAACAAAGGAGGAGGATGCAATGCTTGGTAAGAAATGTACGCATTATCCTGCCCATGTAATTGTAACCCCTCTGTACAGTATGTTCACAAATAAAATAAAATTAAATAAAAAAAAAACCACTGGAGGACTACAGAGTAAAACGTGTGCAGGGTGCCACTGGCTCTCACCTGTAATCCTAGCTGCTTAGGAGGCTGAGATCTGGAGAATCACAGCTCAAAGTCAGCCTGGGCAAAGTCCTTAGGAACCTATCTCAATTAACCACCAAAATGTCAGACTAGAGATGTGGCTCAAGTGGAAGAATGCCTGCTACGAGCAAGAAATCTAAGACACAATTCAAGATCCTACATTCAACCCTCCATTCCAATACCCCTGCCCAAAAAACTGCCACATTCAAGCACAGAAAAAAACTTCAAAGGAAACAGGAGTTACTGAGAGGTACTAGACTAGAGGAACTGTACTACTTGTTTTCTTTTTTCTCCTTTTTTTTTCTTTCCCTATGTTGTAGCCCAGTTACAGATCTGATTAGCAGCAAAACACAGGTGGTTAAAAAAAGGGGGGGGGGGACTGGGAAGGTGGCTCAGTGGTAAAGTGTTTGCCTTGCATGCATGAGGCCCTGGGTTCATTTCCTCAGCACCACATAAGCAAAAAGAAAAAAGCCAGAAATGGTGCTGTGGCTCAAGTGGTAGAGCGCTAGCCTTGAGCTGAAGAGCTGAGGAACAGTGTCCAGGCCCAGAGTTCAGGCCTCATGACCGGACCCAAACAAACAAACAAACAACCTGTCACCAAAAACAACAACAACAACAAAACACTTTTTAGGCCAGAGCAGCTAGAAGAAGGAACTGTAGTGATATAGAAGGGAAATCTGGCTGTTCTGTGTTCTGTTCTGCTTTATTACCTTTACTTTGTCTGAGAGTAGCTGAAGCCACTAGCTCTGCAGTGGTAGCACAGAGAACAAAAACTCCTAGAGAAACCTTTCTGACCAGAGGACTGAGAAAGGGGAGCCTAGGGTCCAAGTGTATGGGATACTGAGGAGGAAAGGATCAAGTGCTGAGTCAGGGATCCCTCTAATCCTGTGCACTAATGGCACAAATCCCAGGCTCATCCTTGTACTCTGCACGAACAGGAAACATTAAAAGGGGCAACACAAAATCTTCGAAAATCAACTAAAACCAGAACTATCTCCCTAAAAAAGGCAAGACACAATTTGTAGTCCTAATCTAAATAGGTTAACTGTCTCCTCAAACAAACTAAATTATTCTCTAGAGGACTTGATGGGATCCAGAGTCTCCAATTAGAATGTTCTAAATGTTTTAAGACATAACTCAAAGTTACTCTTCATACATAGGAAAAATTGAGCAATTAACAAAGGAAAAGACAATTACATCCAAAGATAACTGATACTGGAAAATCTGAGGACACCCAAAGCTATCCAGTTGTAGCTAGTATAACTATAGAGGACACACATCAAATGCATGGATGTCCTCAACAGAGAAACCAAAACAGTAAAAAGGAACCATGCAGAAATTTTACAACAGAGAAACATAGTATCTGAAGAAACAAATTCATTAGATTTATAGCAAAATGAAGGTAAGAGTTAAGACTCTTTCTCAGAGTTAGGGAGCATCAAATGAGATCAATAGCTTACAAGGCCTAAAAGATAATAGCTCTTGTAGACTCCTGGGTTAATAAACACAGCAATCAAAAGGCAAAAGATGGTTAAACTGGATTTTTTAAAAATTATCAAATTATATGTTGTCTGTAAGAAGTCCCCCTTTCAGTATGAGGAATAACACAGGTAGGCTAAAAGTGAAAGGATGGGAAAAGCTATACTATGAAATACAGTAACACATCGATTGAAAGAAAACTAGATGGCTAAATTAAGCTAAAATAGACTTCACAACAAGGAACATTACCAGGAAAAATGATTATTACATAATAATTAAAATGGTCAACTGACCAAAAAGGAATAGCAATCCCAAATGTATATATACTTAACCTGATAGAAATGGACAGAGGAACAGACAAATCCACAATAAAAGAGACTTCAATATTTCTATCTCATCAATGTATAGAATGAGCAGAAAATCAGCAAAGATCTGGAAGACCAATATTACCACAGTGATCCTAAAGATCATGATACCAGGTATTAACAAAATGCATATGAAACATCTAACAAGATAAATCATATTCTACACCATTAAAGAACACTTAAACCAGGTGTAGCAGCTCATGCCTGTAAACTTATCTACTTGAGATTAAAAAAGTGAAGGACTGTAAAGTAATACAATTCCCATCTCAACCAAAAGCTGGTCAGGGTGGTATGTACCTGTTATCCCAGCTACATGGGAAGCATAAATAGAAGGATCATGCATGCTCCTGGCAGATCTAGGCAAAAGTATAAGACCCTATTCAAAAATAATTAAGGTAAAAAAGGTCTGGAGATGTGGTTCAAGTGGCAGAGTACATGCTTAGCATGCAGAGTTTAACCCTTTTTTTTGGGGGGGGGGTTCCGGTCATGGGGCCGGAACTCTGGGCCTGGACGCTGTCCCTGAGCTCTTCAGCTCAAGGCTAGCACTCTACCACTTGAGCCACAGTGCCACTTCCGGCTTTTTTCTTATGTGGTGCTGAGGAATCAAACCCAGGGCCTCGAGCATACAAGGCAAATGCTCTACCACTGAGCCACCTTCACAGCCCCAGAGTTTAACCCTTGTACCAACCAACCAGTCAACCAACTACAAACAAACCTTTAAAACTTGCAAGTATTCAAGGGCAGGGTGTATTGTTCAAGTGGTAGAACACCTGCTTAGCAAGAGTTAGGCCCCAAATTCAAACTCCAGTCTGACCTCTGCAAAATAAAATTTCTAGGTATTCAAATCATACTAAGTATGTTCTCCAACTAAAATGAAATTAAACTAGAAATTGGTAACAAAAAGAACAGAGGACACAGCCCAAATATTTGAAAACTAAGCAACAAACTTCTAAATAACATATAGAGTCCAGGAATATAGACTATTGGTAGAGCACTTGTCTAGTATGTACAAGCCCTAGTTTAATCCTCAGTACCATGAGCAAACAAACAAACAAACATAGGTAAAAAAGGAAGTTGCAAGAAAGTACAAAATATTTTGGACTCCATGAAACACAATGAAGCACAGTATGAAAATAAAAACATAGCACATTCTTTGAGAGACATAAACTTTCAAAGCTATTTGAGATAAACCATAGGTTTGTTAAAAGTTACCATTAGAAAAACCACAGACCAATATGCCTTATGAATAGAGAAGGAACACAAAAATCCTTAACAGCTAACAAACTGTGTCCAACCATCTATATAATATAAAAATATATAAAATATATGTAGTAACTAAAGAGAGGAGGTATATTTGTCTAACCCAACATGTAAAAATCAATCACTGCAGACTGAATCATCCAAGGAAATTTAATATCCACTTAAGATAAACACTCTCAGCAAACAAAAGCTTCCTTCATCTGAAAAGGGGAATCTGTAAACCACCCACAGCTAACATCAAGCTTAATCATGAAAGATTGAATGAGAGCAGGGAATACTTGCCTTCATTTCTAATCAGCCTCACTCTATATGGTCCATGGAGGACAAAAAGGAAAGGAAAAAACAGGCAGATTTGAAAGGAAAGCATCCAGCTGCTGAAATTCACAGATCATGTGATTGTTATATAGCAAATCCAAAGAAATCTATTCAATAACCTATAATAAAATGAATTTAGTAAATTTCTATTTACTAAAATATTAAAAATGGAAAAATTTTGAAGTACTGTTTACTATTTCAATACAACAAATATAATAAATAAAATGTGCACATACGCTAAAAATTTTAACACTAAGGTAAGGTAAGGTAAATTTAGCACTAAGGTAAGAAATCAAAGATGACCTAAATAAATAGAGAAACATCTTTTTATTTTCTTTTTTTCTTTTGCGGGGGGAGGGGGAGGGGTCTGGTCATGGGCCTGAACTCTGGGCCTGGGCGCTGTCCCTCAGCTCTTCAGCTCAAGGCTAGTGCTCTACCACTTGAGTCCCTGAGCTATTCTGCACAAGTGAAGAATTAAGAGCACAAAATGCTCTACCTCTTCGAGCCACAGCCCTGCTTCTAGTTTTCAGGTAATTGGAGATAAGTCTCTCATGAGTATAAGCATCCAGCTGGAAAACTTTATTTTTTAAGATGTTGACTCTATCTCAAATTAATAAATCCAACTTAGTCTCAAACAGAATCCCAGTACAAGCCAGGCATGATGATTCATACAAATCAGTAATACCAGCATTTGGGAGGCTGATGCAGGATGAGCTTGAGTTCAAAACCATCTTGGGCTATAGCAAGATCCTGTCTCAAAGTAAGTCCCCATCCCCCCCCCCAAAAAAAAAAAAAACTCCAGCCAGACGCTGGTGGATCATGCCTGTAATCCTAGCTACTCAAGAGGATGAGATCTGAGAATCACGGTTCAAAGCCAGTCTGGGCAGGAAAGTCCCTGAGACTCTTATCTCCAGAAAAGAAGCACAGAGAAGTAGCACTGTGGCTCAAAGTGGTAGAAAATTAGCCATGTGTGTGTGTGTGTGTGTGTGTGTGTGTGTGTGCATGCGCACACGCACACATGCATGCACACCAGTACTAGGGATTGAACTCAAGAGTCTTGTACTCTTGCTAAGCTTTTTTGCTCATGACTAGAACTCTACTACTGGAGGCACACCTCTAGCTTGGCTTTTTACTATTATTTGGAAATGGAATCTTTCTGACTTTTTTGTCTAGGCTAACTTCAAACTGTGATCCTCTATAGTTTTCAGCTTTTTGAATAGTTAGGATTTTCCCTCTACTACTAACGACATGTTCAATGTCAAAAATGTCAAAAGCTATTTCTTCTTTTGCCTGTGGTGGCTCATTACTGTACTCTAAATACAAAGAGGACAGTCAAGAAGATTTCAAGTTTGAGGCTACCGTGGGCTACTTAGTGAGTTTAAATACAGTCTAGGTACATAGTGACACTATGTCTCAAAAAATACAAGAACTCTTTTCAAAGTAGAAAAAAAAAATACATTCTCCTGCCAAACCTCCAAGTCAGTAACATATCTCATATAAAGCTCTTCTCTTTCTCACCTTCCAGGATATCTTCATAAAGTGCATGCACTCCTTCAGGCACAATGACTGCCAGCGCAGTGCCACAGAGAAGGCCAGCACCCAAAACGGTCACCAGCTTCAGTCGCTCCTACAAAGAAACAAAAGAAACCCTGAAAAGACTAACCAATGAATGGGGAACAGTTTCTGAAGCAGTAAACATGAAAAAATGGCCAGCCTCATACAGACTGCATGGGAAGCTGAGGCGGGATTATCTGGGCCCAGAGACTCAAGACCAGTCTAGGTAACCTATCAATACCACTGTCTTAAGAAAAATAAAGAGTAGACTAACAATGATGTAGATTGAAATCTGCTATCTATGAAAGGGAAAGATGACTAGCTTTGCCTTGCCCTGGAAAGAATTGTGAACTGCTACAACTTACCTGGTGAACAATTTGTAATTTAGACTTAATACTCAAAAAGCATGAATTCTTGCTGGGCACTGGCGGCTCATGCTTGACATCCTAGCTACTCAGGAGGCTGAGATCTGAGGATCCCAGACTCAAAGCCAGCCCGAGCAATAAAGTCTCTTATCTCCAGTTAACTACCAGAAAATCAGAAGTGGGCTGTGGCTCAAGTGGTACAGTGCTTGCCTTGAGCTGAAGAGTGGGGGGACAGTGCCCAGGCCCAGAGTTCAAGACCCATGACCGCCCCCCAAAAAAGTGAATTCTTGTTCAACTCTCCCTTTCTTCTCCTTTCCCTTCACATTTCTCATTTCTTCCATATAAAATAAAAAATAAATTCTCTAATCTAGAAATTTTACTTCTAGAAATTTATCCTAAAAAAGAAAGAATTAAGCAGAGATGACCATGGCACTTATTATGAGTGCAAACCTAATTCATCTAATGTCCAAGAGAGGAGACTATTTAAATAAATGGTACTACTTCATCACAGAACCACAGCACTTAGCCATGAAAGTTATCATATAGCACAACCTCTACTCTTGGATATACTCATGCTGCACCACTGTGAGGAAAACCTGATAAAACAATATATATTCATAATCACATAGCTATAAAAGTATGCACAAAGCAGAACACATTTGACTTCATAAACTATAAACATAATATGCAGTAGAGTTATAATATTTAATTAACAAAACAGTTTATCTACAATGAATGTGTTATGAAAAAATGCAGTTAGATGTTAATACTAGCCAGTTGTGGTGGCAAACACCTGTAAACAGGTGGCAGAGGCAAAAAGAATTCTAGTTGAACGCCAGCCCAAAGTCAGCAAGGGACCAAGCACTGTATCAGAACGTGTGGTGTATGTGCATGCGCACACGCACGTGAGACATTCCTGGGGCTTGAACTCAAGGCTGGGCACTGTCCTTGAACGTCCTTTGCTCAAGGCTAGCACTTCAGGACTTCATATATATTAGGCAAGCACTCTACCACAAAGCCACATTCCCAGCCCACCAGAATTTATTTATTTATTTTTAAAGCAATAGTATCTATGACCCAGCCATACCACTCCAGGCATCTACCCAGATTCTCACTATCCAGTATACCATAAGGAGGACACTTGCACATCCACATTCATTGCTGCACTATTCCTAACAGCCAAGTTGTGGAAACAGCCCAGATGGCCTACATTAGATGAGTGAATCTAAAAGATGTGGTACTTATACACAATGGAATTTTACAGTAATTAGACATAATAATATTGTCATTTGCATGGAAATTGATGGACCTAGAACAAATCATGTAAAATGAGGTAAGACATACTCAGAAAGACAAATGGTGCATGTTTTCTCTCATATGCAGAAACTAGAAGTAAAATACACTGGGATATGATAAATTATACAGAACTCCAGACATTCACACACAGTGAGACGAAAAGAGGATACACCTAGGGGAGGAACACAAAGGCATAATGCCTATGTGCCCCTGATCATATAAAATAATATTTATCAAAATGAACTCCAGGAAATGGAAACAAGAGGTTTTTGTTCATTTGTTCTTTTTTTCTTTCTTTCTTTTTTTTTGGCCAGTCCTGCAGCTTGATCTCTGGGCCTGGACACTATTCCTGAGCATCTTTTGCTCAAGACTAGCACACTATCACTGCCAGCTTTTTCTGCGATTAACTGGAGATAAAGAGTCTCATGGACTTTTTTGCCCTGGCTTCAAACTACAATCATAAGTAGCTAGAATTACTGGCACAAGCCACTGGTGCCAGGCTTTTCTATTCATCTTGTTTATTCACTGTCTTTGGGAGGGGGAAGGGAGCACAGAAATTGAGGAACAAGGGACGAACAAACGTAGCAGTGGTACTCACTAGACATTATGTTGAAAATGAGCTATACAACATGTGTGTGGGGATGGGAGGGAAAAACTAGGAGCAGACAAAGGAAGTGATGACATCGTCCAAAAAGAAATGTATTCAATACCTGACTTATGAAACTAATCCCTCTGTGCATGCTCTTTATAATAACAATAAAAAATTTAAGCAATAGTAAAATTATTCTATCGGTTGGATATCGGTGCTACCACAAAACAAAATGAACAAACACAGTAATTACATGTTATATATAACAATGTTTCAATAATATAATAGTATATTATGGGTTTTCAATTTGTTTCCTTGATGAAGATACTAAAATTAAGCTATCTTCCCTCTGATAATATACTGAACTCCCAACTGTAAGGCAGGGATGCTTAATTAGCTTATCTATTTATTTTGGCCTTTGGTGGTACTGGGGTTTGAACTCAGAACCTTGCATTTCTACACAAGCACTTGACCACATCCTCAACCCTTTGCACTCTGGTTATTTTTCAGACAAGGTCTTAAATGATTTGCACTGAGATATTTCCTATCTCTGCCTTTAGTATGTTAGGATTATAGACATGTACCACACCCATCTTGTTGATTATTAACTTTTTGCCTACACTGGCCTCAAACATGATCTCCCAAATATCTGCTTCCCAAGTAGCTGGGATTATATGCGTGCATCACACCACACCTAACCCTGTTTTTAACTTCAGTAATGGAGCTTGAACTCAGGACATGTGCTTGGCTAGGCAGGCACTCTACCATATAAGCCATGATTCTACCCCTTTTTTCTTTAGGTTTTTGTTTTGACTTTTTTAAGAAAGAAGCTCATGATTATGCCGGGACTGGCATAAATTGTATGTAACCCCCTTTACATTTGCACATAGATAGGATGACAGGTGCATGTCACCAAGGCCAAGTAAGTTTTGTTGTTGGCGGTAGTGGTTTTGTTTTTGTTTTGACATGAAGTCTGCAAACTTTTTGGCCTGAACTGGCCTCAAACCATAATCTGCTGGATCTTTACCCTCTGAGTAGTTAGAATTACAGGCATGAGCCATCATGCCTGACCCTGGTTTGTTTTGAGACAGGGTTTCAAAGATGTACTTTCTTTGCCTTACCATTAAATAGCCTCACCATAGGGTCTCGACAAATTACTTCTGATCCTTGGCTTCTGATTCTTCTAATTTCTTCCAGTTTTTTGTTGTTGTTGTTGTTTTTTAATGGCCATTCATGGGGCTCGAACTTTGGACCTAGGTGCTGTCCCTCAGCTCTTCAGCTTAAGGAGAGCACTCTACCACTTAAGCCACAGCCCCACTTCCAGTTTTCTGGTTAACTGGAGATAAGAGTCTCATGGACTTTCCTGCCCCAGCTGGCTTTGAACTGTGATCCTCAGATCTCAGCCTCCGGAGTAGCTAAGATTATAGGCGTGAGCCACTGGCACCGGGCTTCACATAGATTTTTATGGTAACTCTATGATAGTTCATTTATTTTCATTTTTACGCCAGTACTGGGGCTTGGACTCAGGCCTCATGCTCTGACTTAGCTTTCTTTTCTTTCTTTCTTTTTTTTTTTGGGTCCGGTCATGGGGCCTGAACTCTGGACCTGGGCGCTGTCCCTCAGCTCTTCAGCTCAAGGCTAGCGCTCTACCACTTGAGCCACAGCGCCACTTCCGGCTTTTTTCTTTTTGCTTATGTGGTGCTGAGGAATCGAACCCAGGGCATTCAAGGCAAGCGCTCTACCACTGAGCCACCTTCCCAGCCCCTGACTTAGCTTTCTTGCTCAAGGCTGGCACTCTACCATTTGAGCTACACCTCCACTTCCAGATTTTTGCTGGTTAACTGAAGACAAAAGTCTCTAGGATTTGTCTGCCTGGGCTGGCTTCAACCAGATCTCAGCCTTCTGAGTTGTAGGATTATAGGTATGAGCCACTGGCACCCAGCTTGATAGCTCATTTCTTTCTCTCCTTTTTTTTTTAGACAGAGAGCACTCTTAATGAATCCAAGGGCTGACTGGCAAGTCAAGCTAATGACTTAGGCATGATTAGACCCAACATATCTATTTTCCCTACCAGCATTCCAAGATAATGTCTATCAAATAGCATGACATATACTATCTGTTATATAAAATTTACCTCTGAAAAAAGGTGACAGCCACACAAACTCTTAAGACAGCGTGAATTAGCAACATCCTTAGCAAAGCCAAGAAGAAAACCAAAGCTTGCTGTTGACCGTTTTAAAGATATATAACAAAGTTGAGGAGAAATGAGAATATATAGGGAATGTTTCATCAAGTTTTACTTCTTTGGTGTAAAGGATTATTTTTTTTTGTCAGTCATGAGGCTTGAACACTGCGCCTGGGCTCTTCAGCTCAAGACTAGTGCTCTCCCACTTGAGCCATAGCACCACTTCCAGTTTTCTGGTGGTTAATTGGAGAAAAGAATTTCACAGACTTTCCTGCCCAGGCTGGCTTTGAACCATGAGTCTCAGATCTCAGCCTCCTGAGTAGCTAGAATTACAGGCATGGGCCACCGGCACCTGGCAAGGATTATTCTTTATTCTAACATTATCTTATCTACTTTTTGGTGTTAACAGACCTGTTTTTAAAAAGAAACAATGGGGGTTGCGTATCCTAAACTCAGCCAACAACAAATGCTGGTGGAGTTGTAGAGAAAGAGAAACCCTACTGCGTTGCTGGTGGGGAACCCTGTTGCATTGCTTTCCACTTTGCAAAGCAGACTGGAGGTACCTCAGAAAGCTAAATATAGACCTCAGCCATAGACCCAGCTAAACATAGACCCAGCCATACCACTCCTAGGCATCT